CAGTAGACTAAAGCCAGATACCATGGCAGGACCGAACCCAAGACAGGGACCTCTGCAGAATCAGGCCCAGACCAGGGACATCTACAGAAACATGTCTGAGCAAGTAACCTAAGCTGAAGCAGGCCTGACACAGCATACTCCACAGAAGCAGGTACAAGGTAACACTGAGGGAGTAGATCAGAATCAGAGACCTCTGCAGGTCTGGCATGAGTCTAGGACCTCTGCAGGAGTAGCCCTGAACCAGGGACCTTTGCAGGACCAGGCCCAAGTCAGGGACCTCTGTGGAAGTTTGCCTAGGCCAGGGACATCTACTGAAACAGGCCTGAGCCAGAGACCTCCACAAAAGTAGGCCTGAGGCAGTGAACTGGACAGGATCAGCTACAAGGGAGTGACCATGGAGGAAACAGGACCACGTCATAGGACTTTGCAGGACCAGAAGCAGGTATAATGGAGCCACGAGTGAGGGAGCAGGCCTGAACCAGAGACCTCTGCCTGACAACATGTGAATTAGTGACCTCTGAATTAGCAGGTCTGAGCCACTGACATCTGCTGGAACAGGCCCAAGGCAGCAAACTCAGCAGAAAGAGCCCTAAGTAAGCAACCTCCTTGGGAACAGGCCTGAACAAGCCCTGTCATTGCAGTGTGAATCCCGGGGTGTGCCTGGTAACCTCCAGGATCATGGATTAACCAATAAGGTGATGGAACTGCGGCCCTGACTACAGCATGTGGAACAACCTTCTGAGCCTTGAAACCACTGCCACCTTTAAGATTGATAACCAGAGTCACAGACAGCTCCAGCTACACAATCAGTGGAAAAGATGGGTAGACAAACAAGTTAAGAACACACACACAACACCACAAAGAGCAACACAACACCAGTAAAAACTAGTGGCCCTATAACAGCAAGACTTGAACGACTAAATATAGATGAAACAGATGAAAATGACCTAAAACTAACTTCAGGAGATTGTTTGAGGCCCTTTAAAAGGAAATAAAAACTTCTCTCAAAGAAATAGAGGAAAACACAAACAAAAAATTGGAAGCTATCAACAAATGCTTTAAAGAAAACCATGGAAAGGAAATTACATTTATGAAAGAAACTGTTCAAGACGTAAAAACTGAAATAGAGACAATAAAAAACACAAGCTGAGGTAATTATAGAAACAGAAATCATGATAGAGCAATCACGAATCACATTTGCAAGCATAAACAGCAGAATACAAGAGATGGAAGAGAGAATCTCAAGCACTGAAAATACAATAGAGGAAGTAGACTCATCACTCAAAGAAAACATTAAATCTAACAAAAGCTTATCACAAAATATACAGAAAATATGGGAAACAATGAAAAGACCAAACCTAAGAATATTAGGTACAGAAGAAAGAGAAGAAGTTCAACTCAAAAGCACAGAAAATGCATTTAACAAAGTCATAAAAGAAAACTTTCCCAGCCTAAAGATAGATATGCTTATGAAGATACAAGAAGCTGTTCAGATCCGTACTCTATTTTTAAGTGGGTTAATTAGAGTTTTAATGTCTAGTTTCTTGAGTTCTTTATATATTTTTGATATCAGACCTTTGTCTGTTGCGAGGTTGGTGAAGATCTTCTCCCATTCAGCTGGCTGCCTTTTTGTCTTAATGACAGTGTCCTTTCCATTGCAGAAGCTTCTTGGTTTCAGGAGGTCCCACTTATTCATTGTTGCTCTTATTGTCTGTGCTACTAGGGTTCTACTTAAGAAGTGCTCTCCTGTGCCCATGTGTTGCAGACTACTTCCCACTTTCTCTTCTATCAGGTTAAGTGTGGTCAGATTTATACTGAGGTCTTTAATCCATTTGGACTTGAGTTTTGTGCATGGTGATAGATATGGATCTATTTTCATTCTTCTACAGGTTGACATCCAGTTATGTCAGCACCATTTGTTAAAAATGTTTTCTTTCTTCCATTGTATATTTTAGCTCCTTTGTTGAAAATCAGGTGTTCATAGGTTTGTGGATTAATATCCAGGTCTTCGATTCAATTCCATTGGTCAACATCTCTGTTTTTGTGCCAATACCAAGTTATTTTCATTACTGTCGCTCTGTAATAGTGTTTGAAGTCAGGGATGGTAATGCCTCTGGAAGTACTTTTATTGTATAGGATTGTTTTGTCTATCCTGGGTTTTCTGTTTTTCCATATAAAGTTGATTATTGTTCTCTCAAGGTCTGTGAAGAATTTTGTTGTCATTTTGATGGGGATGCATTGAATCTATAGATTTCTTTTGGTAGAATTGCCATTTTTACTATGTTGATCCTCCCAATCCATGAACATTGGTGATACTTCTATTTTCTGTTATCCTCTTCAATTTCTTTCTTCAAAGACTTAAAGTTTTTGTCAAATATATCTTTCACTTCCTTGGTTAGAGTTACCTCAAGATATGTTATGCTATTTGTGGCTTTTGTGAAAGGTCATATTTCTCTGAGATCCCTGTCTGCTTCTTTGTTCTTTGTGTATAGGAGGGAAACTGATATTTTGGAGTTGATCTTGTATCCTGCCACATTGCTAAAGGTGTTGATCAGCTGTAGGAGTTCTTTGGTAGAGTTTTTGGGGTTGCTTATGTACACTATCATATCATCTGCAAATAACAAAAGTTTGACTTCTTCCTTTCCAATTCGAATCCCTATGATCTCCTTATGCTGTCTTATTGCTACTGCCAGAAATTCAAGCACTATATTGAAGAGGTATAGAAAGAGTGGAAGCCTTGTTTGTTCCTGATTTTCGTGAAATGGCTTTGAGTTTCTTTGCATTTAATTTGATGTTAGCTGTCAGTTTGCTGTATATTACTTTTATTATATATAAGAATAAACCTTGTATCGCTAATCTCTCCAATATCTTTATCATGAAGGGTTGTTGAATTTTGTCAAATGCTTTTTCAGGATCTAATGAAATGATCATTTGATTTTTTCTTTCAGTTTATTTTTACAACATTAATAAATGCTGATTGGCCTGTAGTATAAAGCACAGGTGAGCTTATGAGTGTGAGATAATTCTGGGAAGTGGAAAGGCCTATAGCTAGTTCCCAGACAGTTGCAGAGGAAGCAAGATGAGAATGACTCATTGGAAAAGGTACCAAGGCTCATGGCTATTTATATCAAGAATTGTGGGTAAATTTAAGTCATAAGAGCTAGGTAATAAGAAACTTGAGCTAATTGGCCACACAGTTTATAACTAATATAAACCTCTGTGTGTTTCTTTGGTATTGAACACCTCTGGTATCAGAAGGAACAGAAACTTCCATGTAGAGGTTATGGTGGGAGAGAACTTTTGAGAATGACCAAGCAACTATGGTCCAACTTGAGGCCCACACCATGACTGGGATTCCATGCCTGACACCGCCAGAATGATCAGGAACTTAAGACTTGATAGGCCTGAAATGTAGGATAGCCCCAAACACAACTAGCGAGAAAAGAAAAAAAAGTCAATGAAGTTATTCCTAAAGATATTTTGCTTTGCTCACAGAATGGAGTCTAGTCCATTCATCATTACATCATCAGAGAGGCCTCATCTAGCAACTGATAAGAGTAGATACAGAAATCCATAGCCAAACAATAAGTACAGCTCAGGGAAACCCTCAGATGAGGCAGAAAAAGGATTGAAGGAGTCAGAGGGGTCAAAGACACCACAGGTTCAAGGCCCAAAAAATCAGTTAATCAGTGCCTGAAGTGGCAATCAAGGAACCTGCATAGATCTGTGCTAGGTCCTCTACATATATTTTATGGTTGTGTAGCTTGGTGGTCTTTTTGGACTCATAACAGTGGGAGTGTGGGATGTCTTTGACCCTTTTGGGATCCTTTCTCTACTACTGGGTTACCTTGTACAGACTTGACATGAGGGGGTATGCTTAGTCTTATTGTAACTTGTTATTCAGTGTTTCTTTGATATTCTTGAGAGACCTGCTATTTTCTAAAGGGAAACAGAGATGCAGAGGATCTGGGTGAGTAGAGAGATGGTGAAAGGCCTGGGTGGAAAGTAAGGAGGAAAAACAGAGGTTGGTTGGAATGTAATGTATAAGAGAAGGAGAATAAAAAAATAAATACCACTTAATATAATAGGAACAGTAATTCAGATGATCTAATAAAAAGGAAATTTTGTTCATGAAATATCAAGGATCAAAACAGATAAGTTGGGACCCCCTAGATTATTAGCTTGGACTGTATCCTAGTTTACTTTCCATTGTTCTGGTACTTATCATGACCAAAGCAGCTTGTGGAGGAAAAGGATTATTGCCTTACAATTTCTTATCACAGTCCATCATTAAGGGATGTCAGGAAAAGAATTACAAGAACAGAGGAAGGAACCATGGAGAAAACATACTTACTTCATTCTCCAGGCTTGTTTTCCATGACTTCATAAAACAATGCAATACAAAACAAAACAAAACAACCCTTCCAAAAAACTAAACAGTACAACTGACAGTGTAACTGTATTCCTGACCATAACAGGCAACCCTAGTGTGAAGGCAGCAAACATGACTCAGACTCACTGAATCCATCTCCAATGTTTAAAACTCTCATTCCCAGAGATGAGACATGTGGAATTTTCTACTGTCAACTCCTTTTTTGAACTCCTGTGATGCTACTAGAAACACTTGGTCTTCCTGAGGTAAAGTATAATTTTCTCCTTTTAACAATCTCCATTGGAATGCTTTCCTGTACAGACAGACTAAACTGAAAAGCAGACTTTGTAGCACTCTTGGGAATACAGCAGCGAGGACATGGTGTTCTTCCTGAGTTGTGACTCTAAAGGGTCTCATCTGGATGCAGCATCATGAGGAACAAAACCCTATCCCAAAGTGAGAGGTTGAGAGAAGCAGGAAAGTGTGAGCTCAAGAAAGTTACCCCAGGGTCCAGAGTACACTAAAAAGAAGAAATTAAGAGGTGAGAAAGAGAGAGAGTGAGGGGTGGAGAGAGAGAGAGAGAGAGAGAGAGAGAGAGAGAGAGAGAGAGAGAAACAGCTGAGAGACTGAGCCTCAGTGAGCAACAACCCCAGGAGGTTTTTGTTCAGCCCTGGAGCACTGTGGGAGGAAGCTTCTTAGTCTGCTGACAGTAATAGGTTGCAGCATCATCAGCCTCCACAGGATTGATGGAGAGGGTGAAGTCTGTCTCAGACCCACTGCCACTGAACCTGGCAGGGACCCCAGACTCTTGGTAGGATGCAGCATAGATGAGGAATTCGGGAGGCTGTCCTGGTTTCTGTTGATACCATTGCATAGCATTTATCCCAAAGAAATCGACACTCTCACTGGACTTGCAGGAGATGGTGGCCTTTTGTACCAGAGACACAGTCAGGAAACCTGGAGACTGGGTCAGCACAATGTCCCCAGTGGAACCTGGAATCACAAACAGACCATGGCTATACATGTTTAGAAGCCTTCCCATTAGAGGAATTTTTCATTAAAAATTTTTCAAAATACTTGTAGGCATCACTTTGAAAAACCAGAAAGTCAAAGGGAATAGGGAACTTAAACCCAGTTACAAATTCCTTAAATCTAACAATAAAGATATTAGAGGCGTGGAAAACCGTGATGACCTCAGGGGATGCCCCAACACTGATTTGCACCCTCTCACCTGGTACCCTGAGCAGCAGCATCCATAGCAGGAGTGCCTTTGACTCCATCTCTGAGTGCTTGAAAAGAGATTGCTTCTTAGGCTCCTTGCAGCTGTACTTAAAGGCGTCTGGGCTGTTGTATGATGGCTCAATATGTAAATCAGCCCCGAAAAGTATGTGCTAGTGCTCAAAGGGACACCTGCTCCTGTTTCACCCACTGGGAGTTGGTGTCAGAAAATTCACTAGAGCATGGCAAATATGTGTTAAAGGAGCCTTGCAACCTATTCTCTTGAACCTTTACCCACTAATCTTTCTGAAGTGTGATGCAGGTAAGTGCACTATGGATGCCCTATGTAAAGAATGTATGTTATTTCAGGAACAACTTAATCATTCATAAATTGTAAATGGCCAATGAAAATATTATCTAAGAAGGAATGGTGAATAAAGATCCAAAGAAAATTATTCTTGACGTGTTTCTTATTTTTTTTTTTAAATCTGTGTTTCAGTGTATGCGATGCTGTCTGTGTATGTTTTTTCCTACTCTTGTTTCAGGACAACCTCCTTGCCTTGGCATACAGGTGAAGATAAGAGGCCATTCTTGAGTATGGCTTTTGCCCTCTGCCTCTTCTGAGACAGTGTTTCTTGTTCACCACTGCTCCATAAAGAGCCTGGCAAGGCTCTTCTGGATACTCTCCACTCTCCATCTCTCATCTTGCCACAGCATCATTGTGAATGCAGCATGTGAAACAGAACACTCTGCTATTAATTTGCTTTAAGAATCACAGGTGTTCCAAGTGTGGCACTTGGTGATCAATGCCTTTGACTTTGAAACTTGAAGCCCTTTCTCTGGCAAGTCTGGTTTGAGGTCACTTGAACCAGAAGTTTCTTTTATTCTGGGAAGAATGCCCCTTTTATTCTTCTCTCAGGCTGTGGTGTATTCTGTCCTTAACCAGCTTTTCTTATTTTATTTTTTCCTCTATTTTTATTACTTTATAAATAATACCAATCAAAAAAAGCATCTTCTCACCATATAATAATCAAAATGCGAAGGATACAGAATAAAGAAAGGATATTAAGAGCTGCAAAGGATAAAGGTCAAGTAACATATAAAGGCAAACACATCACAATTACACCCAACTTCCCAATGGAAACCATGAAAGTCAGGATGTCCTGGACAGATGTCCTGCAGACACTAGGAGACCACAGATGTAATCCCAGACTGCTATGCCCCGAAAAGCGTTCATTCAATACCGATGACAAAACCAAATTCAAACAATACATATCCACAAACCAGGCCTTACAAAAATTACTAGGGAAAAATCCAATGCAAAGAAACTAACTACACTCATAAAAACACAGGCATCTATAACCACAAAACAGCATAGCCCAAAAAAAGGAAACACATAAACATTACTATGAAAAAATAACCAGAAATAACAACCATTGGTTATTAATATCACTTAATATCAATATACTCAATTTACATAAAAATGACTCAGGTTAAAGAATGGACATGAAAACAGAATCTGGCCACATTCAGAGAGTCTAGTTTGATCACATGCTTGTTCAGTACCAGGCCAACTGGCTTTGGTGAGCTCCCATTATATCAGTCCCACCATCTATGTGGGTGGACACACCGCTCACTGCCAGGACTTCGTTGCTCATGTTCTTCCTCCTTCTGCTCTTCATCTGGGCTGTGGGAGATCAGTACAGTGCTTCAATGTGGGTCTCTGTCTCTACCTCCATCCATCACCAAATGAAGGTTCTATGGTGATATGTAAGATATTCATCAGTATGGCTACAGGACAAGGCCAGTTCAGGCACCTTCTCCTCTGCTGCCCAAGGACCTAGCTGGAGAAATCCCCTGGACACCTGGGAACCCCTCTAGCGTCAAGACTCTTGCAAACCCTAAAATGGCTCCCTTAGTTAAGATATCATCTTCCTTGATCCCATATAGACCTTTCCTCCACCTCAACCATCCCATTCCCCCAAGTTCTCCCCAATCCTCCCTTTCTCCCTTCTCTCTCCCCATCTCCCCTCCCTCCAGTCTCCCTACTCCCAACTTTTCCCAACAATCTTGTTTGGTTCCAATTTCCAGGAGGATCTATATATGTTTTTCGTTGGCTTCATGTTCTTATGTAGCTTCTTGATGATCACGAACTATAGGCTCAATGTCCTTTGTTTATGACTAGAATCCACAAAAGAGTGAGTACATATCATATTCCTCTTTCTGGGTATGGGTTATCTCACTCAGTAACGTGTTTTCTATTTCCATCCACTTGCATGCAAAATTAAAGATGTCATTTTTTTTTACTGTTGAGTATAACTCTAAAGTGTATATGTGCCACACCTTCTTTATCCATTCTTCTGTTGAGAGGCACCTAGGTTGTTTCCAGGTTCTGACTATTATAAACAGTGTTGCTATGAACATAGTTGAACAAATGCTTTTGTAGTATGATTGGGCATCTCTTGAGTATAAGCCCAAGAGTGGATTGCTGGGTCCTGAGGTAGGTTGACTCCCAGTTTCCTGAGAAACCACCACACTGATTTTCAAAGTGGTTGCACAAGTTTGCATTTTCACCAGCAATGGATGAGTGTTTGCCTTACTCCACATCCTCTTCAGCATAGGCTATCATTGGTGTTTTTGATTTTAGCTATTCTGACAGGTGTAAGATGGTATCTCAAAGTTGTTTGATTTGCATTTCCCTGATTGTTAAGGAGGTTGACCATGACCTTAAGTGTTTTTTGGCTATTTGAACTTCTTCTTATGAGAATTCTCTGATCAGTTCAGTATTCTATTTTTAATTGGGCTAATTAAAGTTTTTATGTTTAGTTTCTTGAGTTCTTTATATATTTTGGAGATCAGAAGTTTGTCTGATGCGGGGTTGGTGAAGATCTTCTCCCATTCAGCAGGAGGCCTTTTTTGTCTTAATGACAGTGTCTTTTGCTTTACAGAAGCTTCTGTTTCAGGAGGTCCCATTTATTCACTGTTGCCCTTATTGTCTGTGCTACTGCAGTTATATGTAGAAAATGGTCTCCTGTGCCCATGTGTTGCAGTCTACTTCCCACTTTTTCTTCTATCAGGTTCAGTGTGGTCAGACTTATATTGAGGTCTTTAATCCAGTTGGACATGAGTTTTGTGCATGGTGATAGATATGGATCTACTTTCATTTTTCTACAGGTTGACATCCATTTGTGCCAGCACCATTTGTTAAAGAAGCTTTCTTTCTTCCATTGTATAATTTTAGCTCCTTTGTCAAAAATCAGGTGTTCATAGGTTTGTGGATTAATATCTGGGACTTCAATTCGATTCCATTGGTTAACACTCTGTTTTTGTGCCAATACCAAGTTGTTTTCATTACTGTAGCTCTGTAATAGTGTTTGAAGTCTGTAGTATGAAGGCTGGCTTGTTGGGGTTTCTGTCCCTCCCAGTACCCCAACAGCCGGCAAGCAACAAAGAAAATCACACACAAGACTCCATAAGATTATAAACTGATTGGCTCATTAGGTCAGGCTTCTTATTAGTTCTTATAACCTATCTTAACCCATTATTCTGATCTATTTTAGCCACACAGGCTCAGTACCTTTCTCAGTGTGACAGCTTACATGTTGCCTCTTCGGTGGTCTGGACAGGAATGGCTGAGGAACCCCTCTGCTTCCCAGAATTCTCCTGTTCTCATTGCATCACCTCTACTTCCTGTCTGGTTTTCCTGCCTATACTGCCTGCCTGGCCAATCAGCGTTTTATTAAAATATGATTGACAGAATACAGACAATTCTCCCACATCAGAAGTCAGGGATGGTAATGTCTCTGGAAGTGCTTTTATTGCAAAAGATTGTTTTGGCTATCTTGGGCTCTTTGTTTTTCCATATAAAATTGATTATTGTTCTCTTAATGTCTGTGAAGAATTTTGTTGGGATTTTGATGGGAATTGCATTGAATCTATAGATTGCTTTTGGTAGAATTGCCATTTTTACTATGTTGATCCTCCCAATACAAGAGCATGGGAGATTTTTCCATTTTCTGGTATCTTCTTCAATTTCTTTCTTCAAAGACTTAAAGTTCTTGTCAAATAGAAGTTTCATTTCCTTGATTAGATTTACCCCAAGATACTTTATGCTATTTGTGGCTATCATGAAAGGTGATGTTTCTCTGATTTCCCTGTCTGCTTCTGTGTTATTTGTGTATAGAAGGGCAATTGAATTTTTTGAGTTGATCTTGTATCCTGCCACATTACTAAAGTTGTTTATCAGCTGTTGGAGTTCTTTGATAGAGTTTTGGGGTCGCTTATGTATACTATCATATCACCTGCAAATAACGAAAGTTTGACTTTTTCTTTTCAAATTTGAATTCCCTTCGTCTCCTTATGCTGTCTTATTGCTACTGCTAGAACTTCAAGCACTGTATTGAAGAGGTATGGAGAGAGTGGACAGCCTTGTTTTGTTTCAGATTTTAGTGGAATGGCTTCGAGTTTTTCTCCATTTAAGTTGATGTTAGCTGTCAGTTTGTTGTATCTTGCTTTTATTAAATTTAGGAATGAACCTTGTATTGCTAATCTCTTCAAGACCTTTATCATAAAAGGGTGTTAAATTTTGTCAAATACTTTTTCCATATCTAATGAAATGATCACATGATTTTTTTCTTTCAGTTTATTTATATGATGGATTACATTGATAGATTTGCATTTGTTGAACCAGTCCTGTCTCTCTGGAATGAAGTCTACTTGGTCATAATGTATAATTTTTTCGAATGTGTTCTTGGATTCAGTTTGCCAGTATTTTATTGAGAATTTTTGCATTGATATTCATGAGTGTGATTGGTCTGCAATTCTCTTTCTTGGTTGAGTCTTTTTGTGGTTTTGGTATCAGGGTAACTGTAGCTTCATAAAAAAAGTTTGGCAATAACTCTTCTGTTTCTATACTGTGAAACACATTAATGAGTATAGGTATTAGCTATTCTTGGAAGTTCTTGTAGAATTCTGCATTGAAACCATCTGGTTCAGGGATTTCATTGGGAGGGAGGTTTCTGATGATAGCTTATAATTCCTCATGACTTACAGGTATATTTAAATTGTTCACCCAGTCTTGATTTAATTTTGGTATA